TGTTTTTTCCTAACTCCCCTCCTCCCCCCAGACGTTCTTGTTAAACCCTGGATTTGTGCTGGAAATGGCCCACCTTGATTATCATACACATTGTAAGGAGAGTGATCACTTTAGATAAGCTATTGCCAGCAGGAGAATGGGGTGGGGGGAGGTATTTTTTCATTCTTTGTGTGTATAAACGATCTTCTACACTTTCCTCAGTATGCATCCGATGAAGTGAGCTGTGGCTCACGAAAGCTTATGCTCAAATAAATTGGTTAGTCTCTAAGGTGCCACAAGTACTCCTTTTCTTTTTGCGAATACAGACTAACATGGCTGTTACTCTGAAAATTGAAATTTAAGACATTGGCACAATACTGTCTTCAAATCTGAAATCTACATGTTGACATAGAACCATCTTTGAAGTGTAGGAAACATTGTGATCATAGAGTTTAAGGTAAGAGGTACTGATACAAAACTGCATCATCAGTCTGAAGCACCAATGAGCTCCAGTCTCCTTGTTAAAGCATCAATACACTTCATCACCTTGGCGCAAGTAGCTTTAATTCTTCAGGGCTTGAGACTGGTGAACTGCACCCCAAAATGGAAGCTCTGCGTTTGGGACGCTGTTCAACCAGGCTTCTGCTCAGTCAAAGCTGATATTGTTGAGTATACTAGAATCATAGAAGATTAGGGTTGGCAGAGACCTCAGGAGGCCATCTAGTCCAACTCCCTGCTCAAAGCAGGACCAACCTCAACTTAATCATCCCAGCCAGGGCTTTGTCAACCCAGGCCTTAAAAACCTCTAAGGATGGAGATTCCACCACCTCCTTAGGTAACCCATTGCAGTGCTTCACCATCCTCCTGGTGAAATAGTGTTTCCTAATATCCAATCTAGACCTCCCCCACTGCAACTTGAGACCATTGCTCCTTGTTCTGTCATCTGCCACCACTGAGAACAGCCGAGCTCCATCCTCTTTGGAACCCCACTTCAGGTAGTTGAAGTCTGCTGTGAAATGCCCCCTTACTCTTCTCTTCTGCAGACTAAACAATCCCAGTTCCCTCAGCCTCTCTTCATAAGTCATGTGCCCCAGCTCCCTGAACGTTTTTGTTGCCTTCCACTGGACTCTCTCCAGTTTGTCCACATCCTTTCTGTAGTGGGGGTCCCAAAACTGGATGCAGTACTCCAGATGTGGCCTCACTAGTGCCGAATAGAGAGGAATAATCACTTCCCTCGATTTGATGCCAATGCTCCTACTAATACAGCCCAATATGCCGTTAGCCTTCTTGGTAACAAGGACACACTGCTGACTCATATCCAGCTTCTCACCCACTGACCTTTTCTGCAGAACTGCCGCTTAGCCAGTCGGTCCCCAGCCTGTAGTGGTGCATGGGCTTCTTCCGTCCTAAGTGCAGGACTTTGCACTTGTCCTTGTTGAACCTCATCAGATTTCTTTTGGCCCAATCCTCCAATGTACTGACCCATTATCTTTGATACCTAATCACTGATGATATTAACACTGGCTGCTTGAAGTTTGATGGTTAGGCATTGAATTGTTTCTCTGTTTCTTCAGTGCGGAGCAAATTTGCAGAGCAGCCCCCTTGATGCATAGAATCTTTGAAGTAAGGTAGTGACTCGTGTCATGTTTTTTCCAGTGTAGATACAGAGTTATCTCATGGAACTAAGCCATAAACTCTTTACAGCTCAAAGTAAGTCACTTTGATGCATGGCTGCTTCAAGTAGCAAGTAGTAGTTGAGGCAGTGTATTATTCCCATGTGGGTTGATAAGTTGTACTGTGCAAACGAGGACTATTTCTGTTTCGAAGAATTTGAACCTAATAGTTTCACCCTTCTGTTATCTTTCACATTCCCCAAGGTACAATCTGGACTTTTGAACAACTATGTCCCTTTACTACTCTAGCCTGGGATGCCTTTTATGCTGCTTTGCTGTCAGAACATCCACTCATGGCCTGTTCACACAGCCTTCAACATTTAAAATCACTCCCAGCTATGTTATGTGAATGCTTTGGCTAGCCACTCATGAATTACATACAGGGTGACGCCTGCAAATTCCTAATCCCAGCCTTGTCCCTTAGAAATGTGTGTCTTGTATTGCTCAGTATCAGTGTTCCCTCTATTTTTTTTCATCCGTGTGTGGAATGAATTTTGTTATGTGCACCATCAGTAGAAACCGAAAACCTAGATGCAATATACCTAGATGCAATATGCAGTTAGGACAGGTTAGACATTTTAGAACTCACTTCTCAAAGAATTACATTAAAGCGTAAGAGAGAAATAAAAATTATGAAATGCATAGACCAGGCAAAAGCTAAAATAACACTCTTTCAGAGAAGTATCAAGAAGTAACAACAACAACAACAACAAAAATAATACAAGTATGTGTTGGGAGGTGAGTGTGAAAGACGAGTGTGTGTGTGTGTGTGAGACAGAGACGCGCGTTGCCCCTTTAAGTATGCTGACCTCACTTTAAATATGCTGCCCTTTTAAGTAGATCAGCACATTCAGACACAGCAGCAGCTGCCAGCAAGCTCCCTCCATCCTAGGCCCTGTCGTGTCCCCTCCCCCTGCTCTGTATAGGGGCAGGGGGAGGAGGACACCCTGACATCAGTGCCCCCTCGCTCCCTGCTCTGTGCTGCAAGCAGGAGGCTTCCGGGAGCAGCTCCAAGGCAGAGGGCAGGAGCAGCATGGCAGTGTGGGGGGGACACCTGAACTGCTGTGCCTGAAGTGTGCGGCATTTGATAGCATGCTGGGCAGCCACCCAAGTGCGCAGCTTAGGGGGAACTTAGCTCAGTACCCTTTTGAACAGAACAGGTTCATAGAAAGTCCATCATTTCATCAAAGGAAAATGATAATGCACCAGCCTTGTTATCCCAAGTGGAGTTTCACACACACTTTACTCCAAACACAAGGGTTAAGATAAAACAATAAAATAAGTTTATTAACTACATAAGATAATTTTTAAGTGATCACAAGATGATGCATAAATCAGGATTGGTTACAAAAGATTAAAACGCAATCTAGTGGCTAACTTAACAAACTGACAGAATTCAAAGCGAAGGTTTTCCTCATCATATGCTGCAGTAAATTGTACAGGCTGGGTCTCCTTTCAGCCTAGGACCCACCCCCTTAGTTCAGTGTCCTTCAGGTATTCATTGATGTCATGAGCAGACGGATGGGAGGAGGAATGAAGTCCCCTCTTTATAATTCAATTTATTGTGCTAGAAACATCCTTGCTGAGTCATGGACACACAGTCTGTTGTGGACATGAGATTTGAACTGCCCTGTGATGAAATGTAAATTTCTTGTTTACACTGTCTTGTTGCTGGAGAATGGCTGCTTAAGCAGGTGATAGCCCTTTAACACCTAGCTGAGGTGTCTGCCTGTCTTTGTCTCTGAAAAACTGGTTTGGGCCTACTTTTCTCTACTTTGGGCATGTTATAACAATGTTATACAGTAGAATCTTGTAACTTTACATACAGTATTGCCACACATATTTTACCTGGACATTATTTAACAGATTGACTTTTCTAATGAAATCTCGTACAGTATACTTTGTACAAAATTTGTCAGAGTCTTGGAAAAGTGGTGAACATAATAGTATAGACCGTCACATTGTTCCGTAGTGTTTCATATTCAGGTTAATGCTCCATTAGGTAGGGGATGTCATTTTGTCAGATAAGATCCAGAGCCCTTCAGACAAGGTTCAAAAGCATTGGTGCGAATGTGTGATGACAACACAGATATAGCTTCATGGTGCAAGAGCAGTGAATCATTGTTAAGTTTGATAAAAAGGATACCTCATTCAGTGTTATCAAGGCAGAGTCTTCAAAATAAATCTTCATCTTAGATTTGGAGGTATTGATGGATGAAATTTCAAAACATGCATTATGTGAGAAGGGTTTTTCTATAACGCAACTTGTTAAATTCAAGACTGGCTCAAACTGGGCTTCATCAAAACACATCTACACCTATTCTCAAACATGACATTCATGTAAAGCCTCTCCTGGTTACCACAAATCCAAGGCACTAGGTTTCTATCAGTCCCTGGAAAAATCATGGAGCAGGTCCAGAATGGGTCCACACTACAAGAAGGATTTGGAAAAATTGGAAAGCATCCAGCAGAGGGCAACAAAAATGATTAGGGGACTGGAGCACATGACTTCTGAGGAGAGGCTGAGGGAACTGGGATTATTTAGTCTGCAGAAGAGAAGAATGAGGGGGGATTTGATAGCTGCTTTCAACTACCTGAAAGGGGGTTCCAAAGAGGATGGATCTAGACTGTTCTCAGTGGTAGCAGATGATAGAATAAGGAGTAATGGTCTCAAGTTGCAGTGAGGGAGGTTTAGGTTGGCTATTAGGAAAAACTTTTTCACTAGGAGGGTGGTGAAGCACTGGAATGGGTTACCTAGGGAGGCGGTGGAATCTCCTTCCATAGAGGTTTTTAAGGTTAGGCTTGACAAAGCCCTGTCTGGGATGATTTAGTTGGTGATTGGTCCTGCTTTGAGCAGGTGCTTGGACTAGATGGCCTCCAGAGGTCCCTTCCAACCCTGATATTCTATCATTCTATGATTGTATAAAGTCTTAGAGCAAGCAGTATGTGAGTTGTATTGCAAATCATGCCATATGTTTTCTTGAAAATTGGAAATTGGGCATATTGAACTCACTCTTCCCAACTGTTATGTATCTGAATACAATAAATATTTATAATTTGTCGGTTTTTCTGCAGTTTACCACTGTCATAACATATTTTTCTAGCAGTTGGAAAACTATGATATTCCTGTATATCATTCTATCCCTGGATGGCTTGGGGCCATGGCTGCGTATGTGACTTGAGGTTAAATATATATTACCTTTTGTAATAGGTAGATCTTACTTTTAAATTAGGGCTTCATTTAATTGAAGGTCACTAACTTTAATATTTCAATATTTGAAATACTCTTTGTACTATTGACATATACATTTTTAAGAAAAGTCAAGTTTGTTTGTTTTTTAATTTCAGTTTTTGATGATGAAGAAGAAAGCAAGTTGTCCTATACAGAGATTCATCAGGAGTACAAAGCTCTGGTGAGTATTATTCACCAATTGCACTTAATCTTATAAGAAATTTGTACTGTAATTTAAAAATCAATATTTTAGGTGAAGTATTCCAAATCCAACCGAATATTCCGCACCATGCTGCCAAAACTTCCAAGCCCCAGGGAGGAGTCTGTTCCCCTTCTAGCAACCAACCATACACTTGTAATTTTTACAAAAACTGGAAGTAACCATTTACAAAATCTAATGATTGCACATTCAAAAAATCACAGTGGCAGATTAAAGGGGAGAGAGGGCTGGCTAGGGTGTAGGAATCTGGAGCATAGGTATGGGCATATTGGATCAGCAGCAGTTCATTTAGTCCAGTCTCTTGTCTCTGACAGTGGCCAGTACCAGATGTGTCAGGGGAATATGTGAGAACCTCATGGTTATTCCATTTTTGTCCACTAACTCATAGGTGAAATTTCTTCCTAAACCTAAGCCTTAGTAGTTGACTTATACCCTGAAGTGTGAAGGTTCATATACTGTCTAAAAACAGTTTTATTCTACTTAATGTAACTGTGTATGTCTTCACTATTTCTGTAAATAAAGAATTCTTTTCTGAATCCTACCAAATTTTTGGCCTTAGTGATATCTTGTGACAGTGAGTTCTACAAGTTAATTATGCATTATGAAGTATGTATTTTCTTTATCAATTTTAAATTTGTTGCCTTTCAACTTAATTGAATATTTCCTTGTTCTTGTATTATGAGAGGAGAAGTAGGAAGAGCTGATTTACCCTTTTAAAACTTTATTATTTTGTTTACCTCTCATGAATCATCTTATTTTTGTAAACTAAAAAATACCAGACTTTTCAATCTTTTTGGTTTTGGAAGTCTTTGCATAATTCATTATTTTCAGAGCCTGTCTCTGACTTCCTTATTTTTTGAGCTAGGGTGACTAGAACTGAACACAGCATTTCAGGTGAGGGTGAGTTATATAATTTCCAACCATCTTGTTTCACTTTGGTTATGGTAGAGTCCATCTCATCCATATAGGCTCTCTCCAAAAAAGTTTCTCAGTGCCTAATAGATGTAATACTCTACTCTGTACACCATGCATTGGGATTCTGAAATTTCTCCTGTTTAGCTGGACATAAGCCATTTTCGTAATAATCTAAATTGACTTTGCAGGATCTATTTGTGACATCTACTTTTATCAATGGCATAAAAGGTAACATAACCAGAGGTTCCTTCCCCACATGCTCTATAAAGGTATCTAGATATTTAAAGAGATCTAGCACTTTCAGTCATAGTAAGAAAGACACACAATGCCTCTCCCAAACATCACATATAGCTTTTGAGCTTGTGATTGCATGTAAGGAATTGGACATTTAAATAATTAAGAAAACAGTGTTTTCCTTACTCAGTTGTGCACTTGCAAGACTGTTACTCCTGGCAGTTACAGTGGTGCAAAAGTCTATTCATTAGACAAAGGAAATTTACATCAGAATGTGTGCAAGTTTCAGTTGTTTGTAGTTTTGTTTTACTGGCTCTCTTTTCTCCAATCTTAGTAAAGTGATGATTCTTCCCTGATAACTAACCACATGCAAAATTTGAATTTTAAAATTTATTTTTATTTTTGAATATTTGAAAAATATTCAAACAATTTCTTAAAGCAGAGAACAAGTATCTCTCCAAAATACTCATCTCTGCATATTCCCATATTGCCCATACCCTGGCACACAGGCACGGCATAAACTTGTCATACTTTATGGCCTGGGAATGTATTCCATTCTTCCCACCTCAGCAGAAATTCCATGCTCAAAGCCCATTGTTTCAGTCTTGAAATAGGGACCAGGATTTGGCAGTGTCTTAGAAGTTGGCCTATATTTTACTGCCTTCTTGAACCCTGTTCAGGTTATTCTTCTTCAACTACACAGTGTGGTAGTGTCATGTTGATGTCCATTTTTAAGGTCCATTTAATTTTATCCAAGATCTTTTTCTTGAATTTAGCCATTGTGGGGCATGCCGCAAACACACATACATAGAAATCATGATGTAACTGTGTATTCAAATGGTATCAATTCAGATTGTATTCCTTAAGTCCCAGACTTTGAAGTTTCTCCAGAATCCAAACAAAGCATAATGAATAAACATAAAATATATTAGTTTTAGGCATACATTTAAATTATTGTCTTGTAATTTGTTTGGACATTTATATATTTATTTTTTCTTCCAATTTAGAATAAATAAAAATTGTCCATACACAGACCCTGAATGTCCTGTCAGTTGTTTAAAATTAGAAAACCCTAATGCAATACAGTCAGTCCTCCCCTTTTACCAATCAACAACACAATCAAATACTAACATGCCCATGCACTGGTCTGTACCTTAATCCCTCTATGTCTCTTCAGAGGTGAGCTAAAACAAATGGGCCCAACAACATGCCTTGAAAGTTCTTTAGCCTGTACTATTTTGGACAAGGGGTAGGGGGCTTTCTCGAGTCATGAGCCCTTATGCAGAACACTGAGCTAAATCCTCGTCTTATTATATGCGGGTGAAAGGCTAGCGTCAGTGCTTCCACTAATTGCAAATGAGGCAGTGTCAAAAGTAAGTTGATCCCAGGCCACTTAGGTCTTTATATGTAAGTACAAACCTTAAAAACTAATCTATTTATGAGCAGGGGGTTGGACTAGATGACCTCCTGAGGTCCCTTCCAACCCTGATGTTCTATGATTCTATGATTCTATTTCATTTATACTTCTCCATATCCTTGTTCTGTATCACATTTTAGATTCAAATATTGTTCTTATCAAGAAACTTTGATACAAAACTGTATCTTTTTTAATGTGTTACCACATTTTCTTCAATTACACTGACTTAGTCTCTAGCTAAAATACTCCTTGCATTCATCGACTTGAGAGTTTGGTATCCACTATTTAGTCAAGATAACAATCAGAATCATGGCTGGAATCTGTGATGTATGCCTTCTATTTTGTTCAACAGCTCTGGTAAAGTCTTCTAATTAACTCACTAATATGAGCATTGAAAACTACTGTGGATTTCTGGAGGGTACTACATACCAGCACGTTTCTGAGATTTTCACTATAACTAATTTTCTTAATAATATTGCAATGACTTTCAAATGAATCAAGATACTGTAAAAAAATAAAAATCACAACACTAAAATAACGTAATGACAATTAGAATAATAGAATATCAGGGTTGGAAGGGACCTCAGGAGGTCATCTAGTCCAACCCCCTGCTCAAAGCAGGACGAATCCCCAACTAAATCATCACAGACAGGGCTTTGTCAAGCCTGACCTTAAAAACTTCTAAGGAAGGAGATTCCACCACCTCCCTAGGTAACCCATTCCAGTGTTTCACCACCCTCCCAGTGAAAAAGTTTTTTCTAATATCCAACCTAAACCTCCCCTACTGCAACTTGAGACCATTACTCCTTGTTCTGTCATCTGCTACCACTAGAACAGTCTAGATCCATCCTCTTTGGAACCCCCTTTCAGGTAGTTGAAAGCAGCTATCAAATCCCCCCTCATTCTTCTCTTCCACAGACTAAACAATCCCAGTTCCTTCAGCCTCTCCTCATAAGTCATGTGCTCCAGCCCCCTAATAATTTTTGTTGCCCTCTGCTGGACGTTTTTCAGTTTTTCCACATCCTTCTTGTAGTGTGGGGCCCAAAACTGGACACAGTACTCCAGAAGAGGCCTCACCAATGTCGAATAGAGGGGAACGATCCGTCCCTCCATCTGCTGGCAACGCCCCTACTTATACATCCCAAAATGCCATTGGCCTTCTTGGGAACAAGGGCACACTGTTGACTCATATCCAGCTTCTCGTCCACTGTAACCCCTAGGTCTTTTCTGCAGAACTGCTGCCTAGCCATTCGGTCCCTAGTCTGTAGCGGTGCATGGGATTCTTCTGTCCTAAGTGCAGGACTCTGCACTTGTCCTTCTTGAACCTCATCAGATTTCTTTTGGCCCAGTTCTCTAGTTTGTCTAGTATTAGTATGGTTTGACAGGTGAGTTTAAAAGTTTGGTGACTTATATATCTGTGTGTTGGTGTAAAAATTAGTAGAAGGTAACACTCATAATTTTTTGTAGGTTGAAAAACTGCTAGAAGGTTATCTTAAGGAAGTTGGAATTAATGAAGAGAACTTTAAAGAAGCGTGTTCATCTCCTCTTGCAAAGTCACATACGTCACAGGTATATTTTCCTTTGTTATGCTGTTATAGTCCACAGTAATGGCTGTATTTTAATTGATAATCTGTAAATTTTCTATTTCCAGTAATATAGCATTACAGGTATGAAATTTTGAAGTCCTTTTTTGCACAAATTTTTTTAATTTTCTAAAATTGGATAATAAATTTACCTATCTGCATTTCAGGTATGAATTGTGGCTAGCAAACTACTTCTACAGTTTTTATTTAGATCAATGGTGTCACTTGAAGGTCATATATTTGTATGTGGCATGAAAAACTTTTTATCAAAATTTGTTTCCTGTGTTTTTGTATTTTTTTTAATTAAATTTTAAGTTGTATTAACTACACAATACAAGTGAATTAAAGTTAACTATGAAAGGAGTCCAGGAAAGCTGGCTGTATTTTAAAGAAGCCTTATTGAAGGTGCAGGAACAAACCATCCCAATGTGCAGAAAGAATAGCAAATATGGCAGGTGACCAGCTTGGCTTAACAGAGAAATCTTCGTTGAGTTTAAACACAAAAAGGAAGCTTACAAGAAGTGGAAACTTGGACAGATGACCAAGGAGGAGTATAAAGATATTGCTCAAGAATGCAGGGGTGTAATCAGGAAGACCAAAACACAACTGGAGTTGCAGCTAGCAAGAGATGTGAAGGGTAACAAGAAGGGTTTCTACAGGTACGTTAGCAACAAGAAAAAGGTCAGGGAAAGTGTGGGACCCTTTCTGAATGGGGGAGGCCACCTAGTGACAGATGATGTGGAAAAAGCTGAAGTACTTTTCAGTACTTCAGATTGGTCCTGCTTTGAGCAGGGGTTTGGACTAGGTGACCTCTTGAGGTCTCTTCAAACCCTAATATTCTATGATTCTATGAAAGGGAAACGAACAAGGACAGTGTGATCCTAATCAATCAGTTTTCTTAAATTTGTTTACAAAATAAGCTACAAAGGAAGATTGACGTGAGCCACAATTCTTGTAATCACTGAAGCTTCAATATAAATATAAAAACATCCAGGTTTTAGAAAAGTTTTGGAATGGATACCTGGCCAGTTTCTGCCCACAGGATTTTTCATTTGGAGAAAGATTAGCAATCACTCTTGTTGGTTGCTAATTATCTTGGACACAGCGTAGTCCTTCAGGGTTATTTTACGGAGCTGCAAAATCAGATTCTGTGAAAGCTCACCAAATTGTAGCACTTAAGTTAAACTGTAGTGTGGAGGAGCAAATGTTAGACATCTTATTCCTTTTAGCAATCATACCATGATGTGTTGGCTGTCGTTAGAAAGAGGGGGCAGGGGATATATTCCAGGTATTTTCCTTTATTATAAAAAAAAAAAAAGAAAAAAAAAAAAGGAAGAAGAAGAAAGCTAGTGATTATTTATGGCCTTTCCAGAATCTAGAATCTAGTCTACATTAGAGAAATTTAAGTGTTAGTTCTTTTGCAAGCACCTTCAGTGCTTGCAATATACCTTTTAACCACACACAAAAGTTGCTACAGAGTAAGTCACACCACCACTGCATCATGCATCACGTGCTTCTCCACTATTACAATCATGGCATGGCACTCAGCCAAGTGTAGTCTGTGTTTCCGATGTAATTCATAGAATCATAGAATCATAGAATATCAGGGTTGGAAGGGACCTCAGGAGGTCATCTAGTCCAACCCCCAGCTCAAAGCAGGACCAATCCCCAATTAAATCATCCCAGCCAGGGCTTTGTCAAGCCTGACCTTAAAAACTTCTAAGGAAGGAGATTCTACAATCCTCCTACCTACCTTTCAGTAGCAGCGCTAATGACTCAAAGCTCTGTCACCAGCCAAGAAGGAATGGGCATATGGGCTCCGTGTGTTGCCTTCATACCACTCTCCTGTGAGCTTGGGGGAAAAAAAATACTGAAGATAAAATCTTGGTCCCACTAAAGTCACAGGGAGTTTTGTCGTTGACTTCAGTGTGGCCAGGATTTCACCATGAGAATGGAATCCAATTCCCATAAAATGCAGAGCACTATCATAGGCCACTAGACCAACCAGCTTTTAATTTTTATTATTCCTTTTGTCATCCTTAAATATTTTTGTCATGTCTAGAAGAGTTGGATATAACTATTTAAAATATTGATACGTTTGACAGAATTACAGTCTCATTAGGTTCACAATACATATAATAATGTTCAATTAAAAATAATTAAATATATTAGGCTCTGATATTGCAATGAACTATACATGGGTTACCTTGACATTCATACAGAGTCCCATTGTCTACACTGGGATTCTGTGCTGGTGTAGAGGTCCACCTGCAATGGAATTCATTGAAGTACTGGGGCCTCAATGTTGAATTAAGTCATTTAATATATATTTTATACTTCTGGGGGAATTCTGCACTTCTGCACATGCACATAATTAATGAGCGCCACAGATTTCTAATTTTCTGCACAAAAAAAGTTTCTGCCAAAATGTTGCTGCAGTTCTGCCTTTTGCCCACCAGAGGGCATTGTGGCAAGAGAACAAAGCTGTCAGCTCACAGCCAACTGAGGAAGAGAAAGCCTGCCGCCTTCACAGCGCCTGTCGGGCCAGGTCAGGAGACAGGGGTTATGGGGAGACAGACAGCGTGGGGTGCTGGGTGGGGGTCAGACAGGGGCTCATAAGGGCTAGTGGGGGAGGACAGACCGGGGCAGGGGCTGAATGGGAGTGGAGGCATAGGGCCACCGGGGGAGAGAGGTGCGGAGACACATGGCGGGAGTGGTTGCAGAGCTACACAGGGACAGGGGTTGGCTGGTTGAGGGCATAGAGACACATGGGGATGGGGGAAAGGATACAGGGAGACATAGGGACAGGGGATCGGCTGAGTGAGGGCACAGAGACATATGGGGATGGGGGAGAGGGTGCAGAGCTACATAGGGACAGGGGAGTGGCTGGGTGAGGGCACAGACACACATGGGGACGGGGCAGATGTGCCTGATTGAATTGGAGAGGCTAGGAGTCAGCCAGGGTCTGCATGGGGGAAGCTCCCTAACAATCCCTCCCCGCGCCCCAAAAAAACCTGTTTCATACTTTTCCCACCCATGCCTAACAACCCTCCAAGTTCACACCCAGGCTTCCCAGCAATTTACTTCCCTCTCCCTCAGCTCCTCTGTTACCCCTGACTCTCCCAAGCCTTTGCACTACTTCTGAGGGGTGCGGGAAATACGGTTCTGTATTGTAGTTTAAATGAATTATTACTCAGAGTTCTGTATTAATAAGCCTAATAAGAAATCTATTTGTCAAAAAACATTTCCTGAATCTTTTTTTTTTGTTGTCTGTATTGTTACAAACATTCTTGCTGACAGGTGTTTTGGAATAAATGACCAAAAATAATTGAAACTGGTGTGATTATATTATGTTATTTTAAAAAATAAAATATGCAGAATTTTGCAAAATTTTAAAATATTGTGCATAGAATTTTTAATTTTTTGCTGCAGAATTTTTAATTTTTTGCTGCAGAATTCCACCAACAGTAATTTTACTATATCGTAGTTTATAAACTGCATTTAAAAATCAGAAAATCAGATATGGCAGTGATGGATTTTAAAAAGAATAAGCTCTTTGTTTTCCATGCTTATGAATCCTTGGATAGTTGCCTGTTGTTTCCAGCGTTCTTGGCATTGTGTCAGCAATAGCTGTTTATTTCAGGGCATAAAAAAAAATTCTAAGTAGACACAACATATAAATGTTGTCTTGCTGTGATAATACAGAGCTTTTCGTGTTTGAGCTATTCTGAAATTATCAGTTTTTGATTTCTATAAGATTTTTAATTAATTTACAGATTTTTTCCCCCCCAAAGGCCATTTTGCAACCAGTGTTGGCAGCAGAAGATTTTAGATTATTTAAAGAAATGATGGTACAGAAAAACATTGAAATGCAGTTGCAAGCCATTAGAATCATTCAAGAAAGAAATGGTAAGAAATAATAAATGAGAAATTTCAGTTCTCAGTGCATCTTTTCAGCTGTTTTGTGGATAACTCTATGGTCTACCCATCCATAAATACTTAAGGTCACATCCTGGCCCAAGTGAATTCAATGGCAAAACTTCCATTGATTTCAGTGGGGCCAGGATTTCACCCTGAGTCTACAACTGGTTCTGTCAGCCACAACTAATTGTATTCCTTTTAAAATGTATCTAAAACTTTATCTGAAAGCCTATTAGATTATTTCCATGAAACTTGGATTCAAATTTCAGTTTAAGGATTGTATGATTTAAATGGTGGTATTACAAAAATAACTATAGTTCGGCACTATGTAGTTGTGATCCAAAGTGCAGCAGCTCTCAAGTTGCTGGCTTCTCAGCTCAGTGGAGGACAAGGACTGATGGATGTTCATAGCAACTGATCCGTTTGACACCTAACCTTACCATTGCCCCAAACCTCTACGTATAGCTGGACAAGGAGCTGTATTCTACACTGCGTAGGGTGTGCACACTCAAATCTTCTCACCAGCCCCACTCTCTACCCAGAGGAACCATACCAATTTATTGGTGTCCTAGGCCCTCAGTATGGGGGAATATTTACCTCATTCTGTATAGCAGTTTTGAATATAATGGCTGTACAGTAAGTTTGATGTGTACTTCCATTACTACTCTCTCATTTTCAGGTGCTGCATCTCAAACTGTAGGAGTTAAATATGAGAGTTATTACTTAGTCACTCTATTCATATCTATGACTTGTAATGACTGCATACATATATATGTGCAGTAATTTCAGCATGCTATTGTCTGGAGATTTCGACTCTTGTATTTCATACAGTAAGCTTGAAACTTGCTAAATCTAGAGGTTTTGCAATTTTCCTCTTCCTTTTTGGTCTGTACAACAAAAGTGTGTGTGTGTGTAAATAAAGTATATAGTTGTTACAAGTAATAATCTAATGGACATGACTGGGATGTGGGCTCCGACCATTAGACCCAATTGCCAAGGGGGTAGCCAAGCCTGGAGGTTAGAGTGGAGTCAAGGATGAGGACCACGGGACACCCAGGGGTGTAGTCAAGAGCAGAGCTAAGGGTCAGAGCCAGAGACTAGAAGCTGAGTGCCCAAGCCAATGGGTAGGCTGGACACATGCTCAGTTTGGACACATTGTTTCTGTAAGCTGTTTCCTTTTAAAAACCAGCATAAAGGGGCCATGGTGAAACCCAGAATTGGGGCCACAAAGAAGGAAAAATACCTACAATTTTCTTTTTGAATAATAACAGACTCAAACACATATATAATATACAAGAACATGCACATATATAAAATATACAAGAAATTCCATTAAAACAACATTAAGGTTGCAAAGTCAAGCACTTAAAAGCTAGGAAATGCCAGAATTAAGGTCTGCGCAACCTTAATTTGGCCCCCTTCTGGGTATGCATTATGATAGTCTTTATATGATCACAAACTGTTTTTTCCACTGGACCCTTTCCTCACTCAGTGCACAGGGTGGAAGGAGCTCACTGAATAGGTAGCTATTAAATATTTATTTTTATCATTATTCATTGTGTGGCCCCATGCCATATTTACTGCACATCATTCAAACTATGTACTGAATACAGAGTTACTAATTTCCTCATGGGCTGTTTTATTCCACTCATCAACATAATATCTGAGTACCTTTTAGATGAGGGAAAATTACTTACAGTAACTCCTCACTTAATGTCGTCCCGGTTAACGTTGTTTTGTTGTTATGTTGCTGATCAATTAGAGAACATGATCGTTTAATGCTCCTTGATAACATTGTTTGGCAGCCACCTATTTTGTCCACTGCTTGCAGAAAGAGCCATCATCTCCCCTAAGTTCCCTGTGCGGCAGCCACCCAGCAGGCTATCAATTGCTGGGCAGTTCAGCTGTCCCTCCCCAACTGCCATGTGCTGCTTCTGCCCTCTGCCTGGGAGCTGCTCCTGGGAGCCTCCTGCTTGCTGTGCGGGGAGGTGGAGGGAAAGATGGGTGCTAATGTCAGGTTGTCCCCCTCCCCCCCCCCGCCCTCCGCTCCTGTACCTCATCTCCACAGAGCAGGGGGGGACACAACGGCTCAGGAAGGAGGGAGCTTGCTGGCAGCAGCTGCTGTCTCAACTTGCTGATCTACTTAAAAAGTCAGTGTACTTAAAGGGGCAATGCGTGTCTGTCTCTTTCTCTCACACGGTGTGTGTCTCTGTCTCTCTCACTCACACACAAGTCTGGTCTACACTGGGGGGGGAGATCGATCTAAATTATGCAACTTCAGCTACGTGAATAACTTAGATCTATTCCCCCCCCCCAGTGAATAATGTAGCTGAAGTCGACATACTTAGATCTACTTGCCACAGTGTCTTCACTGTGGTAAGTCGACTGCTGACGTTCCCCTGTCAAGTCCGCGTGTGCCTCGCGCTCCGGTGGAGTACTGGAGTTGATGGGAGAGGGCTTGGCGACTGATTTATCTCGTCTTCACTTCTCTGTCTCTCTCTCACACACACACCATGTGTGTCTGTCTCTCTCTGCCATGCTGTGTCTCCTCCCTCCATTCATGCTGCCTTGTAGAGTGTGAGGCTACATTAACAACAATGTGTTAACCCATGAGGGCTCAGCCGTGTGCTAGTTCATCATTTAGCAGCAAGGTATTCCCTGGGAAATATCCCACCCTCTTTCACCCTGACTCCACCACCTCAACCAAGCTTCACAATCATCATTGCTGTGTACATTATTAAATTGTTTGTTTAAAACTTATACTGTGTGTGTGTGTGTGTGTAGTCTTTTGCCAAAAAAAATTCCCTGGAACCTACCCTCCTCCCCCTATTTACATTAATTCTTATGGGGAAATTGGATTCGCTTAACATTGTTTCGCTTAAAGTAGCATTTTTCAGGAACATAACTACAACGTTAAGCAAGGAGTTACTGTACCTGTAATTGTGCTTCTCTCAAGATCTTTCTGATATGATTCCCATTCATCCACCAATCTTCTTCCTTCAGAGTTTGGGGTTTGGTCTTTTTGTGCTGGATTTTTTTTCTACTGTAATAGTTCTTAGTCTGTGAGAAAATTTTTTACTTGGATAGGCTTGTCACTTGGGAGCTTCGGAACTGGTTGGAATGGTTGTTGAGGCAGCAGTATTTATAGCCTGTGGGAAATGGCACAGAATAATGGAGAGCCTGGCTCATCCTCTACCAGCTACATCTGTCCTTGGGGACCAGTCCTTTAGAGCTTTGAGAGTTCTGCCAATCTCATACTGGGAAGTTAATACCCAAAAGTTTAGAATCTTTTTGGAAACATATCTTCTGAGATGCAGAATTACAGTTAAGTGATATCCCCCTACTGTTCTCTCTCTGGTTGAAGAATGCATGCAAAGTGGAGTAAGAATCCATTTTATTTAGAGCAATACATGCATTTTTGCTGTGTTTTTTTTTATAGGTGTGCTACCTGACTGTTTGACAGATGGTTCTGATGTGTTCACTGAAATTGAACAACAAGAAATGAAAATACTCAGAGAGGTTCTTAGGTAACAAGAAGTGGTCTCCTACTTAATATTGATGGAAGTAGATATACATGGATATTCTGCTGCATTTTACTTGGGTGCTTCCTTCATTTTCTAGGTGGCATAAATATTCTTCTTCAACATGTGTCAGTGTGGATCCTACTATAAGTGTACATGTGTGCAAGCTTGGAATCTTTTGTACAACCATGTCCAGCATGCCTCCTTGTGCTCCCATAAATAGGCATACAGGGCAAAGTGTCCCCAATCCTCCCTTATTTCCTGTTTACCACCTCTGGCAGTGAGAGACAACCTGGACTGTATCTGACCTGCTTCTGAATTTCAGAACTCTTCTCCAGTGAAGAAACTCTTCTTCCCTTTGTTTTATTAATTTCTTCATTTGATTTTTTGTTGTGTGTTTCCATTCCAAAAAAGAAAGAAGAAAGCAGTTAGGCAAGACAGAAGAGAGATTTCCCCCTCCATACAGCTGGGTGAGATGTTTTGCGCCCGCCACTGGCTAAGGTGGAATCAAAGTCCACTGAATTTAAGCCTTGTTCTTCCTGCTATTAGGTTATACCCATCATCAATGAACACAGCAGATGTCTGTTCTGTCTTGGGGAAGCACACATCCCCAACAAGTGTGACTGCTGTTCCTTTTCATCCTATACCCTGAAATCTTGAGATGTGAATTTCAAACTGTACCTCTTGGAGCAATTCATGAAGGTAGCTTTAGATCCAGGAGTGGAGACATCCTTCATACAGGAACCAAGGAGATTGTCTTTGGTGAGTACCCTGGCTACTGGGCACCTGTCATAAGTATAAAGGGAAGGGTAAACACCTTTAAATCCCTCCTGGCCAGAGGAAAACCTCTTTCACCTGTAAAGGGTTAAGAAACTAAGACAATCTCGCTGGCACCTGACCGAAATGACCAATGAGGAGACAAGATACTTTCAAAGCTCGGGGGGGGGGGGGGGGGGCACACTGTCTGTGTTGCTTTTGCCGGGACCAGAGCAGGAATGCAGGTCAGAACTCCTGTAAAAAGTCAGTAAGCAATCTAGTTAGATATACATTAGATTCTGTTTAGTTTAAATGGCTGATAAAATAAGTTATGCTGAATGGAATGTATATTCCTGTTTTTGTGTCTTTTTGTAACTTAAGGTTTTGCCTAGAGGGATTCTCTATGTTTTGAATCTGATTACCCTGTAAGGTATTTACCATCCTGATTTTACAGAGGTGATTCTTTTACTTTTTCTTTAATTAAAATTCTTCTTTTAAGAACCTGATTGTTTTTTTTCATTGTTCTTAAGATCCAAGGGTTTGGGTCTGTGTTCACCTATGCAAATTAGTGAGGATTTTTATCAAGCCTTCCCAAGGAAAGGGGATGTAGGGCTTGGGGGGATTTTAGGGGGAAAGAAGTTTCCAAGTGGGCTCTTTCCCTGTTATATTTGTTTAGACGCTTGGTGGTGGCAGCAATAAAGTCCAGGGACAAAAGGTAAAATAGTTTGTACGTTGGGGAAGTTTTAACCTAAGCTGGTAAAAATAAGCTTAGGGGGTCTTTCATGCGGGTCCCCACATCTGTACCCTAGAGTTCAGAGTGGGGAAGGAACCTTGACAGCACCACATCCATGGTTCTAGCAAGGAAGGGAAAATAAAAAGGTGCCCAAACCATCAGCATTGGCACTCCCCAAACTGACCACATCTAGCTTGGCACCAAAGGCCTTGGTGTGGACTGTGTCGGCTTGGACTGTTTCAGCACCAACTCCAAGATAAAGAAACCCAGCTTCACCCTCTGCAGTGAAAAGGTTCCCCCCGTCAAATTCAAATGCAGCTCTGAGCAGATAACATATCTGTCCCTCAGAGAGGACTCTAGACCAGGAAAGAAGCCCTCAAAATAATAAGCATCAATGAAATACAGTGCCAGGAGATTGGCAGTGACTGAGCACATGGGTGGTAGGCCCACTGGTATCGACTTCCACATTGAGATCTCTGGCACTGGCCCCAGAGCCAGAACCATTCCTGGTCCCAAGATATGTCTTTGACCAGCCCCCCTTGCTGCTCCTCTCAGTACTGAACACAACACACACATCAGCCCTGGAACCGCTACCATCAGAGCTGGAACCACATGCATTGGCAGTACCATCCCTAGATAGTTACCTCTCCTCCCCATGAAGGGGCCATTCCTTCTTCCCTTACTTGAGTAGGGTACCAGTGCCTGAAAGACAAGATTGAAAATACCAGCAAAGGTACCCTGAAGGTATGTAGTACCGAGTTTCAGTGCAGAACCGGCAACCAATGGGCCCTCCTTGGTCAGGCCAGTACCAATATAACCCACCACCAAAGTTGTGCTGGCTGTACTGGGGTCTGTCCTCTCAGATTTTGGAATGGGATCTCTTCTAATGTCTTGGCAAAGAGGAGATCTTCACCACCATTGGCATCTCTGGCAAGAGTACCCTCACTAGAACTGGAGGGATATCCAAGGGTGGAAGAACTAGCAAGAGACACACTCCAACTGTCCTCCCCACTGAAGAGATCTTCCTTGTCCTGAGATGAAGCAGTCACTGTGGCCCCAACACCGACCATCAGTGACTTCAGGGCATTTCAGAAGGTATCATCGAGGATAGTGGATACAAGGGACTTTGAAACAAAGGTGATTCAAGTTGTTTGACATCCTTAGTGCCTTCAAGAATTGCTCTCCTGATCAATGAGAGAACCCAAAATACAGCAAAGTGGGGGTGGCACACCCTGGCCTTGCTTCCCTTGACTTCAGAGCAGGTGAAAAAACAGTAACAGGGTCCACCCAAAGGCTTTGAGTGATTCTACACACATTCAACACCAGGTTTGCTCATTGTCTCCATCATTCAGGAGAAAAGCAGATCAAACAAAGAAACTCCCAAAGACAAGGACCCCAAGAAGCTGGACATTTTCAGCCTAAAGGCCTACTGCTCAGCACATCCCACCAGTTTCACATCATGATCTATCATGTACTGTTCACGAAATACAACTTCCTGATGTGGGAGAGGGTGATCCCCTTCCTGTCTTGACTCCCACAAGATGGCAGGGAGGACCTGAACAACATAATCAAAGAGGACCAAATGGTAGCTAGAACTGCGCTACCAGGGGCAGTACTTGAATCTGATACAGTCATTCACTTGATGGCCACGGCAATCACCATGCGCTGTGCCTTCTGGCTTTAGGTGTCCGGGATACCAAGAGAAGTCCAAGCCATAACTGGGGACTTACCCATTGAATCATAGAATCATAGAATCATAGAATATCAGGGTTGGAAGGGACCCCAGAAGGTCATCTAGTCCAACCCCCTGCTCGAAGCAGGACCAATTCCCAGTTAAATCATCCCAGCCAGGGCTTTGTCAAGCCTGACCTTAAAAACCTCTAAGGAAGGAGATTCTACCACCTCCCTAGGTAACGCATTCCAGTGTTTCACCACCCTCTTAGTGAAAAAGTTTTTCCTAATATCCAATCTAAACCTCCCCCACTGCAACTTGAGACCATTACTCCTCGTTCTGTCATCTGCTACCATTGAGAACAGTCTAGAGCCATCCTCTTTGGAACCCCCTTTCAGGTAGTTGAAAGCAGCTATCAAATCCCCCCTCATTCTTCTCTTCTGCAGGCTAAACAATCCCAGCTCCCTCAGCCTCTCCTCATAAGTCATGTGTTCCAGACCCCTAATCATTTTTGTTGCCCTTCGCTGGACTCTCTCCAATTTATCCACATCCTTCTTGAAGTGTGGGGCCCAAAACTGGACACAGTACTCCAGATGAGGCCTCACCAATGTCGAATAGAGGGGAACGATCACGTCCCTCGATCTGCTCGCTATGCCCCTACTTATACATCCCAAAATGCCATTGGCCTTCTTGGCAACAAGGGCACACTGCTGACTTATATCCAGCTTCTCGTCCACTGTCACCCCTAGGTCCTTTTCCGCAGAACTGCTGCCTAGCCATTCGGTCCCTAGTCTGTAACTGTACATTGGGTTCTTCCGTCCTAAGTGCAGGACCTGCACTTATCCTTATTGAACCTCATCAGATTTCTTTTGGCCCAATCCTCCAATTTGTCTAGGTCCTTCTGTATCCTATTCCTCCCCTCCAGCGTATCTACCACTCCTCCCAGTTTAGTATCATCCGCAAATTTGCTGAGAGTGCAATCCACACCATCCTCCAGATCATTTATGAAGATATTGAACAAAACCGGCCCCAGGACCGACCCTTGGGGCACTCCACTTGATACCGGCTGCCAACTAGACATGGAGCCATTGATCACTACCCACTGAGCCCGACAATCTAGCCAGCTTTCTACCCACCTTATAGTGCATTCATCCAGCCCATACTTCCTTAACTTGCTGACAAGAATACTGTGGGAGACCGTGTCAAAAGCTTTGCTAAAGTCAAGAAACAATACATCCACTGCTTTCCCTTCATCCACAGAACCAGTAATCTCATCATAAAAGGCGATTAGATTAGTCAGGCATGACCTTCCCGAGGTGAACCAAGCTGGCTGTTCCTGATCACTTTCCTCTCATGCAAGTGCTTCAGGATTGATTCTTTGAGGACCTGCTCCATGATTTTTCCAGGGACTGAGGTATTGAAGGTATGGATCTATTTAGTACAAGAACAGATGAAGTGTGACATTCCCTCAGAGATTCCAAGGTAGCTCTCAGACCCCTGGGCATTTACACTCTGGGACCGTATCATGAACCTTTCTACCCCCGAGGCAGAGAATGCTATTGTTCTGTCACAGTCGCCAGCCCAAGTATTCACCTAGAAAGCAACACTGATACTTGTGGAATTGCCTGTTGTTTTCCTCCTCCATCTTGCACCAGCCTCCCTTCCAGGGACAGCAGGTTTGATTAAATGGTCAAAAGCCATACCAAGACCACTCCACAGGTTATACTTGAAAACTGCCTCACTTGAAAATTACTCACCGCTGCACCATTCAGTTGACTTCCTCACTCCCTACTTGCCTCTCTTCCCTATCCCTTTTCAGGAGCCCTTCTCATGAAAGCCTTTTAC